AAAATCTATTTTAATTTGTTTGTCAAAATAAAAATTTATATAACAAATTAATTCAGTTTTCACTTTGAAAATACTATACCATATTATTTAGTTTTTATAGATTTTATGTAAAAAATATTTTATTATTTCCAATAAAGATTTGGAAAATTAATAATTTAGTATAAACTTGATAATGAGATACAAATCTAGTTTATAAATTAATTTAATACAACTGTTTTAATAATAATAGATAATAATTAAGATAAAAAATAAATATTGTATATAAATTACTGTATATTATGTATTTATTATAATCAAGATTCTGATGCAATTACAACATATCCTTAATAGTAGGACTGGTGTTTCAAAATGTTTTCATCTTAAAAAATAATAAAAGATAATTTACTGTATTGTGTACAATATTCTGCTGTATCCGGGAACATATGGAAAACTTATTTTATAAAATATGTATAATTCAAAATTTCAATTAAAAAACCAAAGCATATTAATTAATTTGTATTAAATTAGGATTACAATAGTAAGTATGGTAATAAGATTTGAAAATTCAAACTCAAATTTATACCACTAATTAGATTGTTTAAATAAGAATAGATATCATTTACTAAATTATGTAGATTAAATAAATCCAAAATGTATATACCGTAGAATAAATGGTACTTTAATATAATATAGATTTAATATAGATTTATTTATAGAATTACTTTTATAAAGTTAATGTGATTTTGAAAATAAGAATCAGAAAACTGTTTTCTCAGCAAAAATTTAATAACTTGTTCTGATTTAATGAAAAATAAAATATCAAAGTCAATTTCGATTATTCTAAAAATAACTTTTTATTTTTTAGGAAATAAATAACTTCTAAAATAAAAGTTTCTATTTTAGAAGTTATTTATTTCCTATTTTTAATATATTTATAATTATGAATATTGAAAATGGTTTCTAAATAATTTTAGACTTCTAGATAATATTCATTTGGTGTCTTTATAACAAAACATAATTGAATGCTTAATAGGATAATAAACTATTAAATTAGTCTAATAATAAACCAAAGAACTACTAATAGGTTAATAGTATTAATTACATGTTATTAACACTATTTGTTCATTTCTATGAATAAACTTTTAAATTAAAATTTTAATTAAAAAAGTATTACTGTATCTGTCTTAAGTACTTTATATTCGCCAAAACTTTATCCATTGCATAATAATTGTTAATTATAAAATTGTTAATGATTATCTAATAATTAATCTAAATTATTATAGTAAGTTACTAAAAAGATTTACAGTATACTGTATATTATTTCCATAAAATTGTCAAGTACAGTAGTAAACACTCAACAAATTGAAATACACTTAATACACAAAATAACAAAATAATTAAATATGAATTCATAGATTTGCAATACTTACGGTTAATAATAAACAATTATATAAAAATAAATGTCACATTTAATCCTATAATTACATTAATTAAGTTGATCATATACAAATTATTTGCAACAACTTTTTGTATCAATTTAGACATTTTATTTATTCAAACAAATATACACTAATAAATGCAGTTTATTATATCTAATATTTAGTAAATTAAATTAAAATGCGAACTAAATGTATCAAACATTGCTGGGTAACATTGCTGGGTAATAAAGATACAGTATTGTAAACAAATAAATGAATATAAATACTAAAAACCTAGACTAATTGAGTTTTATTATAAGCTAGCTCAACATATGCATTTATCGTTAATTCAATTTAAATGTTATTTATTTAAGAAAATAATTTCTAATTTTGAAATATATTAAAAAATTTTCTATTGAAATTATATAAATAATAGAGAATATTATACAATCGTTTGGTTCACTATGTAATGCAATATTAAATGAATGTTTTCGTGCAATGCCTTCGAGTTATGTGACAGAGACTGATATAAAACTAAATTATTGCACAGAATATTGAAGGAATTCCTATACATTATTCCATTAGTTGATAATATAAGTTTAGTATTTATTTAATATTGTACATATAAATTAATGTTACATATACGATTTATATTACTAATGCATTGGTTGCTATGATAAGTATAGTGGCATATTTGTAAGGATATAATAAAGATTTCAATTAAAGTTTGCTAACAAGAATTATATAATAATTAATATGTTGCTACAAATCGTGCATAATCCCATATAATTAATATAATAATTTCAAACTATAATATTCAGCACTAAGAGTAGTATTATAAATTAGATCAAATAAGTAATTAAAACCTTCCGGAAAAAATTTAAATTCCCAATTCAATTCAGTATTAATATAAAATATGTCAATTGAATGCATTTAAATTGCAATAATATATGCACAAAACAAACATAATGAACCTAGCAGCAAATAAAAATAGTAATCTAACAAATTCTTACCATTTGTATGGATTTGTGGTTCCATTTCGTTGTGAATCGACATATTCTTGAGTCACATCCGAGAGATTTACTTCACTATCAAGTCATACATCATTTGTCACAAAAGATAATAGCTTTTTATTGATTAAAATCTGGTTGTTTTAAAAAATATGCTCGCTTTCCGTGGCTTATATGTTTGCTCAAATAATGTATGTTTGCATTAAATGCCAATGTCTTAAGCTATTAATTGAGACCATTTGTCGTATAATAAATTAATGGATGGTTTGATAAGTGTATGTCTGGATGAGTGCAACACTTTTCACATCAGACATGAATGGAATAAACTTTGACTGAAGTTATATTGAAAACTGAAGCTTTAGATAATGTAAATGTTATGCAATAATTGGTCACCAAATTTGATAAGACATGAATTCATGCGCATCCGGTTATAGCAACTGCATTGGCATTGCTGTACCCAATAGTTTCCATGCGTTTGGCACTGGATGTTGAGTCGCATCCCTGTTCAGCAATCACATCATCCCTGAATTCAATGCATCATAAGTTGCTTTCATTGTGTTTTATGCCACACATTCTCAACGCTCCCCTCTATTCTCATTCTCTCTCTCTCTCTCTCTCTCTCTCTCTCTCTCTATATATGGGATTATGCACGATTTGTAGCAACATATTAATTATTATATAATTCTTGTTAGCAAACTTTAATTGAAATCTTTATTATATCCTTACAAATATGCCACTATACTTATCATAGCAACCAATGCTTCAATCAAACACTAGTTTTTAGAAAATACTTTTATAGATATCACATAAACTTATTTTTATGATTAAAACCTAGTTCATTTTCATTATAATTTTTATACCAATAATGAAACAGAATTTATTTGCTGGCTAAGAACAATAGTTTGGCATTTAATGTATATATGGGACAGTCTTATTGGCGATCACTGCATGTATTGAATCGATTGAATCCAAACAACTGTAACACATATCGATCGGTAACTCCACCATCAGTTTGTCTGTTGACACTCTCGTGGCTCCAGTTATCTGTTGTTTGCGCACAGAATCTATATTCCAGTCATTCATTGCATTCCTATACTCAACATATTTTGTATTTTATTTCTCTCCAATACATTAACAAAATTATTACACAATTATAAATACTTTTTATAGGCTCAAGAAACTATTATGAGAGTGATAAATTGTTATTGGTATTAGAAATTATCTAAACATCTCACTAAAAACAATATTTCTTGTTGCATGACACAATGAATTGCATGTCAATTGCTTTCATATTATCATTAATTTCCATTAATTCATGTACAGTACAGTGCAATAATTAAAACAAATTAATAATTCTTACGACTGATCTACATCAAATAATTATCCAGGACAAATATAATTCTCGACTAAAATAGTTGTTTGCACCATGTAGAACATACCTTGTTAATATCTCGTGCTAACGAGAGGTTTTACTATTTTTAAATTAATTTAAAAGTTAAGCCTTTGAAAGCATAGGGATTTCTATTGCGTATAACATTACAGTCGTTATGTGTTAGTGAATAGGCTTTAGTAATGGTTAGTAAATAACTTTTAAATTTATTTAAAAATAGTAAAACCTCTCGTTAGCACCAGATATTAACAAGGTATGTTCTACATGGTGCAAACAACTATTTTAGTCAAGAATTATATTTGTCCTGGATAATTATTTGATGTAGACCAGTCGTTAGTAAAAATAGGTTCTAACTTAGGACTCCTATAACTTATAGTCTATAATATAGACTATGAAATGTGCTAAAATAGAAAATGGCCAAGATCAAGTGGTTTAAAGTATTAATTGGATATACCTACTGTATATGAACGTTATGTTTAGTATTCACATTAGAAACTTAAGCAATTAACTTAATTATTATAAAATTAAAAAAATTATCTAAAGATTTTAAACCGGGTATACCTAAAAAGGTGCTCAAAAACTATTACTGTTTAGAATAGAATATAATTACCGGTATCTAAAATAAAACTGCCAACTTGCAAAATGAATTAATAGAAATAAGTGAACAGGGTAAATGTGAATTTAGATCACAATAAGTTCATAGACTACAGTATATACCGGTAATACCAATGAACTGGATGCAAGTGAATTGCAATTTGCAAACATCGTGTTATGAATCATAATTATTCACATACAGTAACTGTAAGTGCAATGAATACTGCAATGAAATGGACTAATAAAGTGCTAATAATATAGTCATATATTTATTCATTTAGTAAATCATTGAACAGAAATGGAAAACATGTTGTAATCATAACTATTGAACTAATGGTGACGAATCACTTCAATGGACTCGTCTTAGACACCAATGACTGTGAGATAATTGTCTACCAAAGGAGACTATAAAGCAAACAATGAGACAATGAATGAGTGGTCAAGTGATCCGTTGGTGATCAGTGGTGTCATACCTGGAGGGCGTCAGTTCAGGCATCCCTGGGTCGGCGCCTTTCTTGAGACCTATTCATGAGAGACAGTGAGTGAGTGGACACCTGGATGTGAGACCTGGATGCTCCACATACCCAAGTAGATGATGACTGGGATGTATGAGTAGTTGTAGGCCAACCGCACTAATGACAGTATAGTCGACAACCGGGCCTTCGTTTCGGCATTCATTGCTTCCATCACTCGATTGGCTTCTTGTGGTCAACACTCAGTCAATACAGTAGTGCTCTCTTGTGCTGCACTACAGCTCTACCTATGAGTACATCACGTAATGCATCAAATATACAGTATGAGAGGCTATGGGATTGCTGTGGGAATGGGACGGGAATGGGACGCAAGCAGTTGTAGGCCTAATGTGTGTACAGTATTGTCTAATGTGGAGCACTCAATGGATTTGAGTGTCAATTGAATTGCAATTCATGTTTGAATACATTAACAAAATTATTACACAAATTATAAATACTTTTTATAGGCTCAACATTTATTAAAGAAACTATTATGAGTGATAAATTATTATTGGTATTAGAAATTATCTAAACATCTCACTAAAAACAATATTTCTTGTTGCATGACACAATGAATTGCATGTCAATTGCTTTCATATTATCATTAATTTCCATTAATTCATGTACAGTAAGTACAGTGCAATAATTAAAACAAATTAATCATTCTTACGACTGATCTACATCAAATAATTATCCAGGACAAATATAATTCTCGACTAAAATAGTTTGCACCATGTAGAACACCTTGTTAATATCTCGTGCTAACGAGACGTTTTACTATTTTTAAATTAATTTAAAAGTTAATAGTAAAACCTCTCGTTAGCACCAGATATTAACAAGGTATGTTCTACATGGTGCAAACAACTATTTTAATCAAGAATTATATTTGTCCTGGATAATTATTTGATGTAGACCAGTCGTTAGTAAAAATAGGTTCTAACTTAGGACTCATATAACTTATAGTCTATAATATAGACTATGAAATGTGCTAAAATAGAAAATGGCCAAGATCAAGTGGTTTAAAAGTATTAATTGGATATACCTACTGTATATGAACGTTATGTTTAGTATTCACATTAGAAACTTAAGCAATTAACTTAATTATTATACAATTTAAAAAGTTATCTAAAGATTTTAAACCGGGTATACCTAAAAAGGTGCTCAAAAACTATTACTGTTTAGAATAGAATATAATTACCGGTATTCTAAGATTCTAAAACAAAATTAATAGAAATAAGTGAACAGGGTAAATGTGAATTTAAGGTCACAATAAGTTCATAGACTACAGTATATGCCGGTAATACCAATGAACTGGATGCAAGTGAATTGCAATTTGCAAACATTGTATTATGAATCATAATTATGATCATACAGTAGCTGTAAGTGTAATGAATACTGCAATGAAATGGACTAATAAAGTGCTAATAATATAGTCATATATTTATTAATTTAGTAAATCATTGAACAGAAATGCAAAACATGTTGTAATCATAACTATTGGACTAATGGTGACAATGACTTCAATGGACTCGTCTTAGACACCAATGACTGTGAGATAATTGTCTACCAAAGGAGACTATAAAGCAAACAATGAGACAATGAATGAGTGGTCAAGTGATCCGTTGATCAGTGGTGTCATACCTGGCGGGCGTCAGTTCAGGCATCCCTGGGTCGGCGCCTTTCTTGAGACCTATTCATGAGAGACAGTGAGTGGATTGATGGAGACCTGGATGTGAGACATACCCAAGTAGATGATGACTGGGATGTATGAGTAGTTGTAGGCCAACCGCACTAATGACAGTATAGTCGACAACCGGGCCTTCGTTTCGGCATTCATTGCTTCCATCACTTGATTAGCTTCTTGTGGTCAACACTCAGTCAATACAGTAGTGCTCTCTTGTGCTACACTACAGCTCCACCTATGAGTACATCACGTAATGCATCAAATATACAGTATGAGAGGCAATGGGATTGCTGTGGGAATGGGACGGGAATGGGACGCAAGCAGTTGTAGGCCTAATGTGTGTACAGTATTGTCTAATGTGGAGCACTCAATGGATTTGAGTGTCAATTGAATTGCAATTCATGTTTGCAGTCAATTCAGTGACACTCGAGTCACACAAGCAGTCAATGGTTCGTTGAGTCCAGTGTTCGGCCATTCATTCAAATAAAGTCAACACTTTTACTCATTTGGTGACCAAATCGTGGGACAAACCATTGACACAGAGATGGCATCAAATGTTTTCATCCCAAACGCGTCGACAATGAATGCAAACATAAGAATGGATGCAATGAATGGTAACGTATTGGTGGACAACAGCGACAAGAATGCCGTGAAGAGTGAGACGAGCGAAGACAATGTCGTGGTTCTGATGTCTCGACTGCACGCGAAGGCAAATCAGATGAAGTCGTGGACAGAGTTGACGAAAGTGATGAAGCAATCGGTGAACGAGAAGAGACACGCGATTGACGCCAACGACAGGAATCAGTTGCAGAAGTGTTTGGACACAATCCAGAGGAGCATTCGTATCACATGTTTGCAGTCAATGGTCGAGCGGTTGGAAAGCATATGCCGTCAGTTGGGACTCAAGTTCAGTCTTCCGCGACAGACGTCTCCCAATCGCGTCGAGTGCTTCGTCCACTCGGAGATGTATTACGTGGAGGTGCTGTTGGAGGCGCCCACCGGACATGTGCTCGACTGCAAAGTGGCCCATCAGGCAGAGGCACTCGTATGTCACATCCCTGTCCTCTCTACTCACTCCTCTCTATTCACTCCTTTGTTGTCTTTGTCCGCAGAGTTGTCTCGAATTGACCGAAGTTTTACAAAAAGGAGATTTCCTTGAGTTCACCAAACATTTGGAGGGATTGTCAGCAATATATCAAATAAATGCCGATAAGTGTGTCATAAATTGTTTGACACTTTCATAGATTGGTTCAAACGATTTGTTTGTGATTTATAGGAAAAACAAGACTAAGGCTTATCTGGCATTACATGCCCTCGAAATAGATCTCTCGAGTTTGGCTGAACTCCAAAAGTGAGTCCACTATAGATTTGAGACATTTTCCACTAATTTCTATGATTTCAAAACTAGTCATCAAATCAATGACATTAACAATTTGGTCCACAAATCTCCGGTTGGAATCTTAGAGCATCGAAAAGGTGGTCATCCCATGAGACTGACATACTTTGTGCCGCCCTATGACCTCATAGATGTGGCCACAAAGTCATGTCTACCGCTGAATGTTGAAGGTTTGCACATAATGTCTGTTAAATTGCCGGAACAATGATATATATACTCGACATGTTTGCAGTGATATTAGAGAAAAAATTGGGCACTTCTGCCACCGTTTGCATTGAGAGCTCATCCTCTCATCGCTTACAACACGAGTCTCTGATAAATACGTTGAAAACCCCGGAGGGGAAGAATTTGCCCCAATTCTCGGCCCTCACGAACCTCAACAGTACTCAACTTCCCGCCTGTTTCGTCCTCCGCCTCCAGACACCACTCGTCACTTCCATTGATATATTGAGGAAAATAAGGGCCGACACTAACATTGAGTTTAACTACGAGCTCATCCATAAGCGCGAATCACTCATACATCTGATTGCGAAGCAATTGTTGGGCACTAAGAACGGCACCCAATCGGCGAACTCTCCCTTTTATGTGAGACTTCCCAACCAAAGCCATTGCTATCACTTGAATGAAAGCTGCGATAAATTGGATGGCGTTGTCATCACATCCATCCCTATAACACATCCGACACATGTGCCCAGAATTTTGGTTCATTTGCGACAACAGGTGTTATTCAATGTCATAATCGGAAGTTTTATTCGTCAGACATCTAAACCGGGTATTTATTGCTAATTCTGTAAGTGTTTACTGTAGACAATGTTAATCATATGATTGCCATTAACAGAAGACACAACAAATATCTTCGAAGTGACCACAACTTCGATGTCGAATATAAACATTCAGTTCGAACATCCGACTGAAGAATCGTTAGCCACTGTAGACCTGGATCTCAGAGATGTGACGAACGTTAAGTGCAAACTCTATCCCTCGAGTCTCACGTCTTTCTGTTCTGACGATTATTCTTCAAAAGTCATGCAGAGGTAAGACACTTGTCAACAGTTGTGTAACCAATTTATTGACCAATTGTTTGGATCTACTCTTAAGATGTCTATCAATTCCGGTGACAATGCGCTCGATTATCAATAAATGTAAGGAAAGGGCGGCCGCTCTGAAGGAACAGATGGGAAGGGAGGGAAGGGAGCAGTCGAAGCAAATGCAACCAAATGCTAACGACCTGTACTTCTCGTCACTGAACGGCGCCAATGGATCCATAGATGGCAACGGATTGAGCGGAAGACAACAGTCTCTCTCATACCTCTCCCAACAGTTACAACAATATAACGCCAATCAGACACAACCATTGAATCAACAGTTTATGAACCAAAACAATACACTTCAGGGACAGCAACAGAATTTGCAGCGATTTTTGGCTCAAAAAATGCAGCAACAGTTGAGTCAGGAAGGGGTGCAACAAAACAGACCACAACTGACTCTACAACAGTTCCATCAACAACAGCAACAACTGCTTCAACAAAATCAGAGCCATATGTTAGGGTTGGGTCAGGGGTTGGGTCAGAATGCGGGCCAACAGAAGCACAACGCTATGCTCATGAGTATGTTGAGTGACTTGCCGGCCGCCAACTCGCAAATGGCTCTCAATCTACTCAAACAACAACAGCAACAACAACAACAACTTCAGCAACAGTTCCAACTTCAACAGCAACTCCAGTATATGCAACAACAGTCACAACAGAAGCCTAAGAAACAGCGCAAACGAAAGGCAACAAATGATAATCTAATCAGAAGTCCCGGCAGTTCTACGGGAAAGAGTCCTAAGCGTAAGCTGAGTGACGATGACTTTAGTCGCGACTTACCCGACGATGGTGTGGGCGCCGACGCCTACCAATGGGGCGGTGAGACACCTAATGCTTGCCGCCCCTCATCCACACCTTCATCGACCTCTTCTTTTGCCGAAACCATTGGAAACATAAAACAAGAGTTAAATATGTCTTCGAGTGGAATGACGCCCACATCTGGTGCCGACAACACTGTCAATGCGTATCCTTTTTTAGGCCAAAGACCTTTTGGTAGCACTCAAAACGAATTCAATGAGTTCTCTAATGAATTACCACTTTATGACGAAAGTGGTGCAGAAGTCATGAATGATATTAAGCCATCACT